AGCTGTGATCCACTGCCCACACACTCCTGTGACAGGCAGAGGCATGTGGGGAGCAGATTGCAGCTCTGCCTTGGCCCTGGCCCCACACCGTCACTGCCCCAAGATCCTAGACCCAGCCCTGCCAACCTGTCCTGTTCTTGGATTCAGCTCCCCATTCACCAGCAGCCCCATCCTGTGCACCTGCCCATGTACCCTGCCGGCATAGGTTCCAGCCTGTCTCCATGGAGACCTCAGGATTATGGGGCCAGGATCTGCGGCCTGGGGCAGAAATGGCCCACTCCCCGAATTCCCAAGCCCACAAAACAGGCACCCATCCTAGGGGCATGTGGGGAGAGGATCATGGCTCTGCCCTGGGCTCCAGGCCACACTGTCAAGGCCCCATGATCCCGACCCTGGCTCCACCACCCATCCCACTCCCCAATGCCATTTCGCAGCCACCCATGGCCCCATCCCAGCTGCCCAGCCAACCATGGAGCAGAAGCACTTAGGGAGTTTTGGTAAACTGTTCGGGGGGATGAGGGGGAAGTGCTGACCCAGTGGAGGGGAGGGAGGAGCGCTAACCCAGCCCACAACACCTCACCAAAACTCCCTAGGTGGCTCTCTAGCCCAAATAATTGCCCACCCCGATGTAGACATTAATATAAAAATAAACAAAAATAATTAATATTGAAAATGAAACAACCTTCTGCTTAATTAAAAATAAAAGTATAAATGGAATTGATTAAATATTTGATTTTGATAATATAGAGCAAACCTGTAAAAATGTACATCCATGTGTAGTATGGGAGAGTTTAATGGGACTACTCGTGCTAAAGTAGCTGCAGGATGATAAGGTTAATTTTTTTTCTGCCTTATGCAATTCCTTTTAAACTAAATTTGGAGGGTAAATTCTCAGACCTTCAGTGTGCCTGATCATGTGAGTTGCTACTCAAAAGAGACACTAGCTCCAAGCAGACTTTGGCCCATATTTTAGTCTACAGCACAACAAGTATATTTATGCTAAGAAAAGCAAATTGTAGGCTGTTGCTCCTTGGCTAATTTTAGCTTCATAATCAGTCCTAATCTATTAACTTTTTGAGTGTAGTGTAAAAAAGAAACATACTTCAATTTCTGCATTCATTACTCACAAATAGATTATTTTGTGATTCATCTAACGAGTCACATACTGTAATTAACATGAGCTCTACAGTTAATTGCATCTTTGCAAAATAGTTTAATAATCACTTTAGTGGTTTGAAAATCATCTTTTAATCTCATACATACACTGAATGTTGTATATAAACTAAAGCTTATTGGAAATAAATAGAAGAGTAAACATTTTTATGAAGCTCTCTCAATAATTTTAGAATGAGAAAATACCAAAGATGGCAAACTCTTACAATGAGTTATTTGAAAGCCATTTCTGCCTCTTTATTGGTATCAACAAGGCCAGCATTCAGGGAGATAACCTGTTAATTAGTATAACAAACTAAGTTGAATAAGAACTATTTGTAAAAAAGAGGATACAGAACAAAGGGAAAGCATGAAAGAACTATGAAATCTATCTCCAAAATTGCTGGTATATATATAAAAACAAAACAAAAAATCCCACAACCTTTTGCTTAATTTCAATTTCACTAATTTTGCATACCTTACCTAGAAATTATTGCTGATCAAAATTAAATAAATACAAAATGATATCTGGGGGCTAGGTGTAGACGGGGGATGTGATAATCAAGCAACTGAACTTGTTAGAATTTGAAATAATTTCATAATAATTTACTGAATCACTCTTATTTTAATTTAACTAGTTTCCAGCTCCCCCTTACTTTTCTGTAATCAGAAAGCATTGTTATGAACTATGGATGAAGAAAATCACAAATCAGCAAATATGACTGAAGTACAAGATTGTCCAACTTGGTCCTTTTAGATCTGTGACAAAAAATAAAGAAGTAGTGTATGAATTTGTATGATAATTGTTCACTTCTAACTGATGAGACTTTTTAAAGTGTATTTAATTAAACGTACAAATAACGTATTATGCAATTTGAATACACAAAATTCAAAGTTAGGTTTTGATGCAAAATTTGATTATGTAGATACTGCCTTCTTTTAATATCACTGGAGTTTTACTAAGAATTATGTAGCTGAGAGAGCTTTGAGCTTCTCAAAGCTGAACTTTGGACGGAAGTATCCAGATGTCAGTTGAGCTCTCTGTGTATTTAAGGTTTCAGCTTCCAGGGCTGGTACCTTGGTTTACGCATCTTAAGTGTTGGCCATCTGACATACGGAAGATTCCTTTGTACATCCTTTTCTTTTAAATTCAAATATCCGTTCTGGATATATTTGGCTGTGGAAAAGGAGCTTTGAGTATTCTAGTCTGTAACATAAAACACCAGGTGAACATGAGAGAGCACTATGTTCTTATAAAAAGACAAAAACACCAGAGGAAAACTAAACTGGTATATTTTAATTCTACAAAAATGTATAAATATTTAAATTTACAGCAAAGAGTACCTTTTTACCATGTAATAACTGTTACAACATTTAAATTGTGTAATTCTTTATTCACAATCTACTTTTATAAATTTAATTTGGGTCTCAAGCACTCATTCAGGAACCTTTATAAGTGTGCCCTCTAAATCAACTCATAGCGCAGCCTCTTAGATCCGAGTTGACACTCTATCAATAATGCTCTTTTTAAATAAGGATGGATTTTTGTACTTAAGATTATAGTGGCCTGTGTTTGCCAACAAACACACTTACCAAAGTATCCTGAATACATGCTGTTTGAGAAGGGAAGAAAGGGTTCAACATACCTGAACAGTAAGACTTGGTTTAAGAAGTTATTAAATGTTAGAAAACAAACACTTTGACACTAAAATCCACACAACTCAGTTAAAACACATTGCTGGTGTTCATTCAACACCTTAAGATCATACAATATCTTATATTTATTAGCAATTTAAACATGGTGTAATCTTACCAGATGTGTTCATATTATTGTACAGTATAGCAGCTGACTTTATCTATTCCATACATTGAAATACAGGAAATGAATGATGGTTAGTGGTACACAGAGAATTCTGAAGCTTTAGTTGTCACAATAGTCAATTAAGTCTTTGATGTCTTAGTGAATTGCATGTGCATTAAAGATTTTTAGACAGCTGATATAATGCAGAAGGATTTATGGATATGACATTTAGCAACCCTCATTAAGTCCGTTTTATTTTCCCAAACTGTTCATATCAGTGAAATCAGTACGATCTATTTAATAGCTCTAAGCTTAAGCATTCCCACAAGACGTGCCTCCCTTGAGACTGTATTCAGCATCTACAAATGAGATGCAACTAAAATTTATTTGATCAGATATGATCCTTGCTTTCATGTACAAAAAGCAGGCCATGTAGGTTAGCATTACAATACTTCTTTCTTTAAAATGTTATTTATAGTAAAACAAAGAAAAGAAATAATTCTAGAAACTAGGAGATTGCATCAATTCAGAACACAGTAGTCAAAGCCACCTTAGTTTCAGTTCTTATATTGTACCAACATTTTCCATCCTCAGGTAACTCATGTGGATGCGAGTGGGGGGAAATAACCACTGCATTTTACCCTGTTTGTAGTAGCAACCTGCCCTTCACACTGTCCAACTTACTAAGTGCTGCTGAAATTCTGGTCTGGCCTGCGTCTGACTTCTGTTCTCTGAAACAATACTTGGAAAATATGAGAACTAGAAATACACTCGCAGTCTTAATAATAAATAATGTGTAGCGCTTGCAGAGTTCTTTCCTTCTTGAACACACTGAGCAAACATTAGCTAATCCTCATAAGACCTCTGAGACAGGGAAGAAATAGCCCCATTTGAGACATGGGGAAACAGTTACAGAGATTACGACCTACAGTTTTCAAAGATGGCCTCTGATTATGGGTATGTATAGGGTGACCATCCATCCCTAACTGGGCAAGACAGTCCCAGTGGAAACATCAAGTCCCGGTCTGAGGCTGCATGACTCTGGGACAGCATTTGTCCCAAATTCACAGTGTCATGCACAGATCCGGGTTTTCCATTCACCATGGGAAACAGCGATTTCCCCTTGGAGGCTGGAAGCAATCCTGGATGCAGGAGGTGCCATGTGCATGCCCATACACATGCATGTGGCTGGGAACACAGACCGGCAGTATGGAGAGCAGCTCCCTGCAGCTAAATCTACAGGAGAGGAGACGGGACAGATCAAGGTCCCCACAGTGAGGGAGGGAGTGGGGTAGGGGCTGAAGGCGCTGGCCAGCCAGGGCAGTGCATGGGGCCAGGGGCTGGGGCGTGGACCAGGATGGTGGCTTGTACAGGGGACATTGGGGGGTGGCTCCCTGACACTGTGTGCCCATGCCGCCCAGATCTGTGTGTGGGGTAGGCGGATATAGGCTGCCTGCTGTGGGCTCAGGGCTCTCTGCCCTGTTGCCCCTCTCCCAGGGGCCCCACACTGGCTATGCCACCATGATGAGGCACTCCCTACCTGCATGGTAGCTGCAGGGCAGTGGCAGCGGCATTGACTGTGAGGGGCTCCCGAGGGAAAGGCAGCAGGGTGGGGAGCCCGGAGCCCACAGTGGGCAGCCTACATCTGCCCCTGCTCCGCTCAGCTCTGCTCCAGCCATGCCACTGGCAGAGGGCATGGGGGGGGCAGTGAGGGGATACAGGCGTGTCCCACCTTTCCATTTTGAAAATGTGGTCACCCTAGGTATGTACAAGCTTAGGGCAATCTAAATGCCTGGTGAGAGAGGGGAAGGGGAGAGAAGTTTTCACAGGATTTATGCCACTGGAAAAATGATCCTGATATAAAGCCAGTTCTCATCAGGCAAGAACACAGAGAGGCCTATCAAACTAATTCACCTGGCCTAACAAACACTTGTGCTCATTCCCAGCACAGCCCCAGGCTGGGAAAATTTAGCCACTCTCCACAGCTCAGGGTTGTGCTGTTTCTTCCTGCCTCTCATACCTGATCAGGCTATTTTTCTTCCAGCAACTTGGTTGCCTCTGGCTGCCTGTGCCTCCAACAAGCAGCAAACACTTGTTTGAACTTCATGAGTGCCCTAATTGATGGATACCCCAATTTGGACACTAAAAATTGAGTTAAATAAAATTAGAAGCCATTTTTTAATAATTTTGGCCTAAATAATTTACTGAGGCCACATAGGAATTCAGTGGTAGAAGTTGGGATTAGAACCCAGAATTTCTTACATTTTATCCTCATTTCCTTTTTGACCGAAGTATTGCAGAGAGACATCTCAAGACAATCTCCTCATCCAAATTAGTTATATAAGGCTTTTTATGGAGTATTTGGTTTGTACACTCTTTCATAGGAGGCAAATTTAGGGCCCAGTCCAGTAAAGTAAATGGGTTTGCTTATAGCAGGTAAAATTAAGTACATGAATACGTGCTTGCAGGATCATGGCCTAATGTCTAGCTGTCATCAGTTTGTCAACATAAAGAAGATTTTAAACAATGTTCTATTCTAAACATTGAGAAATCAGTGTCATTAATCATGAATAAGCATGAAATAAAAAAGCATATAGGTGTATTCTTTTCTTTTTTCCTTTTCTTGATCAGTGCAATAACATAACAATGTAGCTGTTGATATAATAAAGCTGAATCAATAGTCATCAGGAAGGACAACAGCCCAAGGTCATTGTTGAATTCATGGCAATGTCCATGTCATACAGAGGGAAAACAGACACTAAGTTCTGTAGCATACCTGGGAAAGAAGGGTCCATTTGGTTTTTTACCTGTTTTTTGGGACTCGGGGGTTAAAACTGAGATACAATGCAGTAACATTTTCTCAATACTTTCTAATAATAATTTTGAGAATACCTTGCATTCAGGAAAGTGCAGTGCAATTACATTTAATTCACAATTTGCAGTTAAGTCGCATTAAATAAGATGCATTATGGATAACAAAAAAAATTAACATTACTAACTGCTGTTAGGTATTCTAGCAGTCCCTACTAAGCACCAATATTGTTAGTAGGGCCGCAGTGCTAGTATCCAAAATATGTGTTGTACCAGCATGAATGTTGGATTATGGGTGTACATGTGCTATAGCCCTTTGAAAGGAGATGATTAAAAAGTAGCAATTTGTTCTTGATGAATGTTAGCATTTAAATGATTTTGTTTGTGATTTTTAATGCTCTTTTTAGGCAACAAAATTATAGTCTTTTTCATTTTTGCTAGCTGTTAAGGTATACTATAGATTTTGGTGTTAAAAAAGATGAGATATGAGGGCTTGAAAAAACAACTACTGTGAATGCATAGTAATGACGTCTCCAATTTAACATGCATTTGGTATTCATTTAACAATTCATATCAAGAAAATGTGCAAAAGCTATCAATCCATAGTATGCAAATATATGGTGGTATTAATACATATTCACCAGAGGAGCCTGTACACAGGGAATGTAGTCAGTTCCATGCCCAAATACCAACAAATGCATGAGTAAAGAGGCTTGGTTTGAGCATCTGTGAGTGGATGATGGGGTCAGAACCTACCCTACAGCCCACAGGCAGGATCCTGGTCTTCCTGCTCCGCAGCTGTTCTGTGATGGCCAGTTTGGACTCCGGTTCTACCGTGTTAGGACCTCCTTCTGGGCAAATGACATACATTAGGACTACAGCACAAAATTTAGCCAAACTATTTTTATAACAAGCCCATTTTGTGGGGATATGCACAATGGAGATTTACTGAAATGCTAGTTATGAATGAATATTAATAAAATTACACAAAACACATCTACAAACACTTACCACGTTGGCTGATGTGGCATTGGTTCCTATTATACCTTTGACAACAGCATGTCAGTGAAACATTTTTAATATCCATGACAACAAATAAAATAAAAGAAATTAACCCCCCCCAAATTATTTAGAAATATAAATAAGCATCTACCATAAGCCTATTAACACAAGAAAGTTCAGAATTAGAGCTCAAATTCTATTTATAACTTGGTTCTGTTTTGTATCATGGATGTCCAAAATGTGCATGCCTTTGTATCCAGCATGTAGATACAGTTTTTAAGAAGTTAACAGTTTTAGACTGAGTTTTGATCTAACTCTTAGTCACAGTTTGGCTCAGAGGACCAAATTTTGCTACTAGTTCAGTGTTCCATTCATGCTACCCGTTGAAATGAATAGATTTCCATGGGTGCAAGTGAGGCCCACAGTGATTTACCTTCCATTTGGACAGGTTACATGGATAATTCCAATTTACATTAATCTGTTTTACTCATATACATTGCCCACTCTCCATACTGTTAATCCAATGTCTTTTGCTGTGGTTTCTTTGATTTTAGATTCCATTCTTTAATGTGTTTTTGCTCAATTTTGCTGCTTTTATAAAGAACTTTTATATACAGCGATTTTACCTTTTCTGGCACAAAACATGAAACATTCATTATGTACAGTAAATTTACTGCTCGGAAACCTTTTCAATTTAGTACTTCACTGAGTACCCTTTGATATGAGATAGCAACTAATATGCTCACTATGTTGCTATGAAGGGCCAGTACAAATACAGCAAGTTTATAAAACGACTGATATAATCTTTCACAATGCAAGTTAGTTTCATAAGGCATTTTACATTATGTCACCCTCAAGCAATATTATGTGACAAACAAAAAACAACCTCCCAAACTCTTTGATATTAAGTTCATAAAGGTTTATCTGGAAATACTTTTTCAAGTGCATCTGGTGTTAATAATAGCATACATTATGCTATTTGTAGCTTCTCCTGTGCTTATTTTGAATGGATACAAATTTCAAAGTGGCACGTGCAGACATGCCATAACGAGAAAGCCCCCAAAGGACTCTGTTCTGATGGTAGGATTTCCAACAGGGCTTCAAAGCTTGTCATTTAACTGAGAACAATGGAAGAGGAATATCCTTTCTTCTGATTCAAATGAGGGAAGAATGAAGGTCTAGACACCTTGCAAGGCTTAAAGGAACATTTCAAGTTTCTTCTAGCTTTAGGCACCCAAGGTCATGTTACGTAGTAGCCATTGTTGGGATCTACTTTCACTGCAGTCCTTCATCGTAGGAACCATTTTATCCTCCTCGGAGGGTTCATCAAGACACTGGTTGCTATTGACATGCCTCAATGTAAGCTTCTGTAATAAAAAAATGGCAAATGTTGCAGAAAGATAAATATCGTTGGAAATTTAATATTTGACCATTGTAGTCTTTTGGTACACATAGCACAAGAAACTATAACATTGGGAAAAGTGACCCCATTCCGAATCTGCATCACATATCACTAAGTGTCTACCACCACTTGTATGGCTCTATGATACACTGAAAGCTAAAACCAACTTTAATGCTATTTTTCACTGCTCTGATGAAAATAACGAGCTCACCTTCCTTAGATGCATGGCAGGGTCAAGCCACTTAGGGAATGATAAACTGTGGTGTGTCCATGGAACAAAAACAAAAGAGCAGAAGTATAACCGAAAGTTCAAAATAAGCACAAACAAATATTAGTTCAAAGTAATTATCTACAGGTTCAAGGAATCCAAGGCCCAATGCCTAGAAAATATATGTATATTAGACTGTAAATATCATTTAAGACATGGCTTGTGTCAAGGAAATATATTTACCATCTGTTGTATAAACAGTGGCAACACACACACACATATATAAAATTGTAAAACGATATGTAAATGCCAATATTCTTTTAGTGCGAATATCCGCTTTTTCTTTAACTAATTGCCCTATTTATCTATATTACATAATTTTGGGGCAGGAGGGTTTGAGGCAGAGTTTGATGGTGGCAATAGTAAAAGAATATACCTACAACAACTAGCTCCATATCACTGAAGGATGAAAAGCTGCAACACAGCCAACATGAATAACATGCAAAAATGCAACCATATAAAGTTAATTTTTAAAAGGAAACACAGACTAGCTATGCAATCCAGAGAAATTCTCCCTGGACATATGGAGCCACCCTGTTGGCTCTGGGATTCTATCTAAATTATATCAGTAATGATCATTTTAGTCCCTTCTGACTCTGCCACCAGAACTTCTGAGACAAAAGTTGAAAAAAATATTTCAAGGATCACATTTTCAAATTAACAGGAAAGCGTGATACTGTTCTCAGCTTATCCTATTCAGGAAATGTCTGCACAAAGACACCAATGGAGTACTCTTGGGATGGAAATACTTTTATAAGGAAACCAAGGACTTTTAGTGTCTCGTTGAAATCTGTACTTACTGGTTTTAAAATTTTGCAACACCTTGGTATTAAAAACATTTTGCCAAGTGATCCTCTTTCATGGGAGTCAAACAAGGCAGAAGGAAGGCATAGGAAAATGCTTTCTTTTGAAAGACTTGGGATCCACCCTTGTACTGCACCCCCAGACAGGGTTTGTTCAAGAATGTACTCTTATAAACAGGTATAGAAACATGTACAAATACAGACAAGGTGAATGTATTCTACACATGAATATTAATGCAATGCAATAGACTCCAGCATAGTTCACAC